GACCTGCCATCTGTAGCCCGGGGGTCCAGGAAAGCCAGTTGTATAACTCAGTCTTGGTCTGGAGGCCCGAGATCCACAAGCACTGGTCTGTGATGGCAGAAGATGTCCCAGCTCCAGCAGAAACAAAGCCACCTGGCCCCTGCATTTCTGTCCTATTCAGACCCTTCACTGGTTGGACCAGGCCCACCTACCTAGGAGGGGCCATGGCTTCACTCAGTCTACTGACTCAAATGCTAATCTCTTCTAGAAACACACTCAGGACAGAGACACAGCCAGAAATAATACACTACAAGCTGTCTGTGCATCCTTTAGTTGGGTGAAGTTGACACAAAATTAACCATCAAAGGACCAAAAACATGCATATGGATTTCTTGTGATTTGGTTGCTTTATATTAAATGCCACCTGTTTTACTTCTACCCAACACAAATTGTGTGTTAACTACTCTGTTTCACCCTGAATGTCATGTGTTCTCTCATCTGTGGAAAATGTATGTTCTCTTTTAAGTCTACTTTTCCACGGACTTTCTAAAGCGTCCTCATGTCTTCCTTCCTTTAAAGTACTCAAAACCCTTAACCTGGACAGAACAGACTGCATTTCTCATGTGGCTGGCATCCCAAGCTGGGAAGCAATTTTTACACATAACTCATTTTGGTCATAGCTATCCTACATTAGCACTGGTCAGTTTTGAGGTCGTGGCTCCATCCAGCTACAGAAACCACAACAGACAGCAGCCTGGGACAAGCTGGTGACAATGCCACCGGAATTGGAACCAAGTGATGTTTAAGCTGCCTTATGTGGTAAAGAATACAGACGCTCGGGGCTGGGCCCTGGGGCATAGCGTGTTAAGCTACTGCTTGGACACCTGCCTCCCATGTCCGAAAGCTTTGGCTCAAGCCCCACCTGTTTCTCATCCAGTTTCCTGCTTATCCACACCTTGAGAGGCAAGACATGATGGCTTAAGTACTTGGGTGTCTGGTACCCACATGGGAGACCCAGATGGAGTTCCTGCCTTCTCGCTTCAGCCTGGCCCAAACCAGGCTACTGTGGGCATCCGGGGACTGAATCAACAGACTGAAGTATCTCTATCTATCTCCTCTCTCTTTTTCTTTCTCTATCACGGTAGCTCCGCCTTTCAAATAAATAAAAAAATAAACAGCTACACTTAAAGAGTCAACTCTGACAGCTCTAGGTTTACATGTTGGTACTGTCAATTCCTCTTCTTTTTCTTTTTTAAAGATTTATTTGTTCATATGAAAGTCAGAGAGAGAGAGAAAGAGAGAGAGAGGTCTTTCATCCCCTCTGGTTCACTTCCCAAATGGCTCCAATGGCCAGGGCTGGGCTGGTTCAAACTCAGGAGCCAGGAGCTTCTTCCGGGTCTCCCACATGGGTACAGGGACCTAAGGACATGGACCATCCTCCACTGCTTTCCCAGGACATAGTAAAGACCTGGATCAGAAGTGGAGCAGCTGGAACGCAAACCAGCACCCATAAGGGATACCGGCCTTGCAAGAGGTGGCTTTACCGGCCGTGCCACAGCGCCGGCCCTGACAATTCTTTTTCTATGATTTAGACACATCATTTAACTTCTCTAAGCTTTCAAAGGTGAGGCATGGATTCTGAGCTTATGGAGAAAGGATTAAATGGGATAAATGCTAAAGGTTTTAGCACACCGTCTGGCACGTTGGAAACCTGAAATAACGAAGTCATTACTGATATCTAACTACACACTGAAGTACCTACAGCCAGGCTCGATTTTTGAAATAAAGAGAATGCAAAGGTTTTCAGATAGCAGCTGAACACTGGATCCTTTGTCATTTCTTCTTTTTCACTGACTGAGCAATGGGGATGAGAGAAGAGGGAAGGAAGGAGCAAGGGCTTGGCCCCGAGTGGAAAGCACTGCCTTCCCCAGGCATCGTCCTCCCGAGGCAGCAGCGAGAGCCCTTTCCACGTTTCCCCACCTCTGCATTAAGTTTCAATTTCACTAAATCTCATGGCTTTTGGAAAAAGAAAAAGAATAAATCCCTGTATGACAGCTCCTCTAAGGTGAAAACGGGTTCCTGGGATGAAACCAATAAGACAAGCTGTTTTGTTCATCCTAGGCTAAACTCTTCACAGATTCAATGCAGAATAAATTTAGATCATAACATTGAGGAGCTAAATAGCTACACAGCTACTAAATTGAATAAAAATCTAACATCATGGCACCTCCAGTGAATGCAGTCTTTGTGTCGGCTGCTTTTTATCATTTGCTCTTTTCTTTCAGTAGAGAATTGCCTTCAGGTGGAGACTTGAATCACTTTTCCTCCTAGGTACGAAAGTTTCAGGAGCCAAGCTTGAGGTCAGAAAGAGCTGTAGGTGGAGAGGGTGTTTGCTGAGGGAGGCTGCTGCTGAGACCCGGGAACTCTGTCAGGCAGAACCTGGCCGAACCTGGTTTCTGTCTCAGGAACAGACCCGTCTACATGAAATCCAAGAGGCTGAGGCAGAAGCCAGGACACCCATGTGTCCCTCAACAATGAACATCAGAAACCCCAAGGGGGCCATGCCTGCTCCTGTCCTGACCTGCTCCCCTCCCCGTGGACACCCACTCCTCGGGTGAAGGCCAAGAGTGATCAGCGGTGGCTACGGGAGTGAGCCATCAGAGTGACTTACTCACTCTGGAGCAGCTGTGTTGCGTCTGGCTCCATGCCGAGCACTGTGCGTGATGACCACGTCATCACTCAACCCATCGTCTAGTCTGGTACATAACAGGTAGAGGGGTGTGAAATGGTGTGGAAAGTGTGCCGTGCTACTGGAGCCCAGGGCAGAGGATTCACAGTGACGTGAGGGGCCAAGGGTGGAGGAGAGCGGGAGAAACCTGGAGGGGATGTCGTGGAGAAGGACGCCTGGAAGGGACACGGGGAGGCAAGGAGGGGTGCAGGTGGGAGAGGCATGGGGGGCTGCCCAGAGATGCCAGGTCCTCTGGCTGGGAAGCCACAGGCCTTTACTCTGTGGGGGTCTTTGAAGCTGGATGAGTCATATTCCCTCAGAGACCAGAGCAGGGGTCCACGGGCACCTTCTCCTTTGCAGCTTGCTAGACTGGGGGAATGCCCATGTCTCATGTGTTGACTGTCTCACTGAGCAGCGTGAACTTGCTGGTAAATCAAACCAATCTCACTAGACTTGACCAGGATCTTCAAAAACCTGGTGCAAATGTCTGTTATGAACAAACTATATATGGATTTTAAAAATGTTTTATCTCTGAACTGACTTTTCCAGGAACGTGCTGATGTGCTCTTGTAGCTTACCCTTGACTTTGTAGATATGTACACTGATCCATTATATTTTGGTGAATTGCTCATTTTCCACAAGCAAGTAGATGTGTCGTAGGCCAAGACTTGTTGAGATGACTTAACCCCTTTTGATGTAATACTTGCCTACTCCCCCTATTCACTATAGGATGACTTCTGAAAATTCTAATGCAGATTCTCCCAAATTTGAAGTCTGGTGAAATGAAATTGTCTAGTAGCTCACTGCATGCAGCTTTCTTACATAGTAGGGGATATTACACCTCTCTTGGACAATTATTTGCTCACCAGCAATGTCTCATATAGCAAATGCACCAAATTAGAGAGAGAGAGAAAATGGTGAGCAAAAGGCAGACAGAGTCTTGGCCCTATGGGATTCATTCTATTGAGGAGAAAAGGTAATACACAGGTAGTCAGGGATTGAAATGTAAAATTAAAACTGTGCTATTGGTATACATAAACAAAAGATTGTATAATAATGATGGCAATATGCAGAGAGAAGAAAATAAAATACAAGGAGTGAAGGAATTTTCCACATCATAAGAAAGGGGTTAGTTTTGGTCTAAGGAAAATGAGTAGAACCAACTGAAATCAGGCAGTATGACTGTGAGAGAGGTTACGGATTTTTAAGAAGTAGGAAGACATAGCCTGACTATGAAATAAGGCTCAGCTTTTAAATCTGGGGCTCAGGAAGAGGTATTCTAGACGTGTAGTCAAATCCATCAGCACCCCGTGTACTTGGCCAGTGACCTCAGCTGGCCAGAGATGACAAATCTGCTCTCCTTGTTTGAGAAAGTGTCTGTGCACCCTGGGAAATGGAAAGAGGCTCTGGAGTGGTGAAATATCTCACACAAACCCATACTAATAACACTTGTGTATTTGGTTTTGAGAGGGTTTGTAATCATAATAACTTGCATGTGTTTATTTGTTACTTATGTCAGTACTCACCAACCTTTAGCATGTCATGGAACAAATCATACTTCAAAGGAATATTGGGGTTGCTAACGGGGGAGATTTGGAAACCTCCATGAAACTGCTCTCAGGTGAATACAGCCTATGGACTCTGCACTGCTCAAGACCACGTGCCTGCCCCCAAGGCTGAAGGCATCACTGCTTGAGGTGCACTGGTAGAAAATGTTAACATCAGGTACATGAAATGGGTGGACTCACCTCACCGATTGGATTGGCTGTTTTAATTTTAAATGCTCGATTCATAACATACTTGTGATTTTAATTTGCAATGTCCAGATAATGGGATTGACTTTATTTGTAAACGTTGTTTATTTGATAATCTGATCCATTACATCCAGAAGTTGAGATTAATTACTTTTGAAAGGAGCATGCCAGTGCCTAAAGGAAGAGCATAGGTCTTCCTACAACTGTGCCCTGGAAGACATAGATCTTTTGCTTTTGTGATTCTAATTTGAATGGCAAATGGCAAATTAATGAGGTAAGCTATGTTAAATGTTATGGGGAATTTCATCTGTTAAATGTATGATCAACTATTAATCAAATTACATCAACCAAATAACAAATTAAGCATTTGTTATTTTATACAGAAAATAACTAGATTTATAAATAAAATAACATGATTTATCAATTGAGATAAATGCTTAAGAAAAGCTGGTGTTTTAAATTTTCAATTTTAGAACTTCAGTGTTAATTAAAATACAAAAGACAGTAAATATCCTATCAAATGCATAAAACTGACCCACATACAATACAAAAAACAACTAACAGTGTGATAAATAAGAATACATAATAACAGAGATGATAACAGGGTTTCATCTGGTCTGGAGCCCAGGAAAGTTTTCTCAAAGGAAGTGGGGTCAGCCTGGATCTGCAGATTATGAAATACTACGTCCAGTTAGGGGAGAGAAGAGTGTCCCAAGTACTGAAAAAGAAAAGAGGAGGAGAAAGAACCTGAGCAGAGGAAGATGGAAGAAAAAAGATGTGGAAAGCAGCAGGAGCATGTGTAAAGGCCCTGGGGTAGTCTTAGGCACTGGGAAATATAGAAAATAAGTTCAGCCAGACTAAGGCACAGAGAATAAGGCAGAGAAGAGAGCTAGGGTCCCGAGCATGGGGTTCTTCAACTTTCTACCTGGGAGCCATTCTTAGAGAGACTCAGTGGGAATCCTTTCTGAGTTTTAGGGAGGCTTCCTCCACTTTTCCAAAGTCCCTCCTTGCTGCATTCCTTAACCCCTTATGCTTTTGATATTTCTTTGTAGTATTTATCGCCCCTCGACAGGACAAACAGGACAAGCTGCAGGCCTACCTGAGGGGAGGCATGAGAAAGGGAGGTGAAGTGAAGGCAGGTGCAGGTAAGTCTGGAGATTTAGTGTTGTGAAATTGAGAGTGTTTCCCACATGGTGGCTTTGAGTTTTCCATGAGGCAAGAGTTGGAGTCAGTTGCTAAAAGCAGTGGGAAAGATAAGATGGCTGGAATCAGCTGGAGACAGAGAGGAGAGGAAATCCGAAATAGGAGTCATGGTCAGTCCCTACCTCTAGTAAACAGTTTTAGATGACACAAGGAACCCAACAGCAGTCTGGGGCAGGACAGAGAGGACAGAGGAGTTCACGGAGCTGAGGGGTCAGGCAACTGCGCAACTTGTACACGACACCACCGGACTCATTCGGAAAGAACAATGGTGGTGGGGAGGCGTTTGGGAATCAAGAAATGAGGAGTCTGAGTGTCACAGGGCTCAGGGGACAAACATCTGGTGCTCACATGCCAGGAGGGTGTGGGAAATGGCACAGAAGGGTCCGTAGGGAGCCCTGAGGCTGCACACCCCGGGGTGACCCTGGAGAGCTGCCTCCCAGGGCTGCAGGAACAGAAATCTTGAGGAAGGGCCCAGGGTTGAGTGGAAGGCGGCTCAGGGCTTCATGTCTGCAGCTGGCACGCATTTCCTACTTACCCTGCTCTTCCAGGGGAGGAAATGAAGGCTCTGAGACACGCGGAAAAACCCACCCCTCCAGCATTTTCTTCCAAATATCGCAGACTTACCACTTCCAAACAATCTCAGTCTTAAAAGGCAAATCACTTGCCACTTCGCTCCACATTGGTACAAAACATCTTTGCCAAGCATGTCACATATCTCCTACTCAAAAGAATCAAGCCAATACTAGCACACCTCATCCTTAATCTAATGACTAAACAAAGAAATTAAGAAATTTTTGCCTTGACTCCTTGTGAGAAGCCTAACCTTTAAAAAATACTTTTGAAGAGACACTGAGGGGTAAAACTTATATAGAAAAATACAGTTTCTTAACACCTTTAAAAATGGGTCCCACCAGCATTGTGGCACAGTGGATCAAGCTGCTGCTTGTGACACAGGCACCCACATGGGTGCAGGTTTGTGTCCAGGTTGCTCCACTTCCAACCCAGCTTCCTGCCAATGTGCCTGGGAAAGCAACCAAAATAGGCCCAAATGCTTGGGACCCTGCCACCCATATGGGAGACCTGGATGAAGCTCCTGGCTTTGCACAAGCCCAGCTCTAGCTGTTAAGGTCATCTGGGGAGTCAATCAGTAGATCAAAGACCTTTCTTTCTCTCCCTCTCTCTCTGGAAGTCTGCCTTTCAAATAAATTAAGCTATGTATGTCTTTATTTGAAAAAAAAAAAAAACTTAATTGGGGTCCTCAAGTGCATTTTGTGACATAGGGAGAAAATGCCAAAGGATCTAGGATACTGGAATTCTACCTGTAAGTTCTATTTCTCCAAGACTAGGAAACTCACAAACACCTATTTTTCAACATCATAACAACTTTGATTCCAGGGAAGGAATATCTTTTCTGTCACTCCAATATTTTTTCTTCCTTGGGGAGACAAAGAATCCTGAGGTCTAAATTTAACGTTCATTTTTCAAAACTTAGCAGCACTAGGGAGAACAGCTCTCACAAGTGCAATACAAACTCAGAGCATAACATTTCCTTTGATACCATTATGCCACTTGAGCCAAAGTAGAATTATAATTCAAATAAAGCATTTATTGATTGTTTTGTAGATTTTTGTCATGAAACCCTGTGTCTTGGAATCCAAAGGCAGGGAGGTACAGTTTAGCATGTTACATAAGAAGTTATTTTGTACAAAAACAGTGTTTCTGTCTTTATTAACACACACTCCAGAACCTATAGGCATCCTGTCACTACATAGTGGGTCCAGACAAGGCAACCAGCATGGTGGGTGAAGGTCATGGCTGTCAGCCTCACACCTGGCTGAACGCCTGGCCATTCCCTGACTCGAGGTGAGCCTGGACAAATTCTCAAAAACTCAAGGCTCCATTTTCCATCTGCAGAAGAGCACAACAGTAATGGTGACCACATACAGTGGCAGGAACTGATGAGGTTCTGTGTAGCGTGTGCCCTATGTATGATGGAGAAAAGGTCCCCCACTATCAATAGCTTATTACCATTCATTAGAAATAACTGAAGCCAATTATCCACTGCACTTCTTTTATGATCCCTCCAATGTTCCACTCTCAGTGGGAACCCCTACGACGCCAAGTGCCCTATGACCTTCTGAAGTCCTGAGCGTCTACCATCTAGACCCACGTGATCCAGTTCTGACTCAGACACTGTGGTGGATTATTCCCTGACAAAATCTGGATGTGCAGTTCCTGTCACTTCTCTTTTGGGCCTTCTGTAAGATGACTGATGGCTCGTCCCTATTTCTGCTGTTGGTAAGCCACTGCACATATGTATTTGCCATCATCACTCGAGAGTGACAGCCAAGTCTGTCGGGGCATGGGAACACAGCCTGGGCTAGAGCTGGCATTCCAGCGCATTGCAATAGAACAGATCAGGTTCCAGGGACAGATTCCCTTGCTCTTTCTCGAGATGTCTCCCAACCTGTGGCTGTAACTGGCAGCAGCCATCCCAACATCTCAGGAAATCAGCCAATGCTATTTCTTTTTGTGTTTCTTGTTACAATGGCTTGAATGGTCAGATATTGACATATATGCGGCTTAGATAAAAGGAAATGGCAGCATTACATCACAATGCCAGGAAAGCAATTATTGCAAACAAGGAACATTTACTAGAAAATGCCTATCTTAGAATTCTCCTTGACAGGAAAAATAAATGACATAAGACCTTCTGCCAGACTCCTTTCCCTTTTTAATATCATGAAGGGAGATAAAGTTTCTGGAGCTCACCAGAAAGCACATTTCCAAACAATACCTCCATAAGACTTGTCTCTTCACATAATAATGCAAATATCTTATCTTTGGGCCTCTTGACAGCTGTTCACTTTCCTGAATTTCTTTAATTGGCTCCATATGGTGAAGTCCCTACTGTGGAGCTCTGATTGACAGCAGTGGCAGGGCCATGAGCAGCTGTGGCCACTGGAGCTCCTCCTGACTTCAGTGCAGAGGCAAACCCTGTCCCTACCTCTCAGTTACTTGGAGATGAGACACAGACCCACGGAGGGAAGTTTGGTAACATTCATAATCCAGCTATTCTAAAGTGGCATCAACTTTATATTTAATAGATGGCAAAAATTTTTTAAAAACTTATTTAGTCCCATTTTTTATTTGTTTATATATTTGGCAGACAGAACCAAAAGAAGACAAAGAGCTCTAATATACTGGTTCACTACCCAAATATCAGTAATGACCGGAGCCAAGTGGAGATCAAAAGTGGGAGCTGGAAGGGCCGGCACTGTGGCAGAGGTTGTAAAGCCACCTTCTGCAGCACTGACTTCCCATCTGGGCACCAGTTCAAGTCCTGGCTGCTCCACTTCTGATCCAGCTCCCTGACAATGCACCTGGGAAAACAGTGGAAGATGATTCAAGTGCTTGGGCCCCTGTACCTGTGTGGAAGACCTGGAAGAAGCTCCTGGCTCCTGGCTTCGGATCAGTCTAGCTCTGGCCATTGCAGTCATTTGGGGAGTGAACCAGAGAATGGAAGACCTTTCTCTCTGTTTCCCTGTCTATAACTCTTCCTCTCAAAAAATAAATAAAATCATTTTTTAAAAAAGTAAGAGCTGGAAACTCAATCTGGTCCCCCCACATGAGTGGCAGGAACCTAACTGCTTGAACCATCACCTGTTGCCTCTCAGGGTCCTGGAGTCAAAGTCTCCATTAGGGAAAGTGATGTGCCATGTTCAAGGTCAGTAACAAATGAATGACCTGAACTCTTGCAGGATTTTCTAGTAAAGGGGCTTAGGAAATACGTGTGGAGTTTGAAGGCAAAATCAGGTCATCAGTATTTCATTGACTTTATACACACACACACACACATACACACCAAGCTTTGCATTCTAGAATTCTGCATCTTAGATTACTAAAAGATGGTAAATTTGAGCAATAAATGTGTCCACCCAGAAAATGATGAAAACTAAGAACCTAACAAAAATGCAATCATGCAAATAAAATAAGAGTTACTGTGCCTCCTCCTCACCCAACTGCTTAATTCCCCTTGGGGAGATAAGATTATCTTCCAGACACACAGCAAATAAGCTGAAAATAATCACAGAGCATGCCGTGTTGTCTCAGAATAGTTTTATTATGATAAAATGAGTGCAGAAGCACTGTAAACATTCTGAAGAGAACGCAGAAGAAAGTGAATAATAAATGCTAATGCCATGATTCATAAATTTAAAACGATTACTATTTTGACATGTCAGTGCAGCACTGTTTCTCTGTGTGCATAAGTGGATGAGTGCTGGGATCATATTGATCCTGAATTTTGTAATCTGGCTCTTTATTCCCAGAATGTGATAATGTGCACACGTGTCTGCATCATTCACTCCAAGCCCTCAAAATATCCTGACAAACTTACATCACTACAGTGATATGAAAACTCCCGGAAGAAGACTCGGGGGCAGTCTTGTTCTCCACGGCAAGAGAGGAGACAGAAAGGAAGCACAGTGCGGGTCCCAGTGTTCTCCTACTGAGACTGAGCTACGCCTGCGCCTTCCTGTGTTATTCAGTCACCTGGCATCAGCTTCCCGCTGTGTGCTAGGCAAACAAGCGCTGAACACTCACAGTGGGTTACAGCAGTCTGTCAAGAAGCTACAATCTAATCGAAGTTTCATAGGAAATAAATCCTTTCGATTGTTATCAGGAGAGTCGACAGAAACCACACTGCTTCTTCACGTTTCTGTCTCTGATCATCTAGACATCTCTGGCCTGATGCAAACAAAGAACACTCCTAGGAAGCTGTCCCAGTTCATGACCGGGAAATGGAGCATGGCTCACTACTGTGAGTGAAATGGTATCTGAGACAAAACGGCACCTTGACAGGGTTTTACAACTTAGCTATTGAATACGTGGACCTTAAGATTATAATAAGCCCTAAACAAATGTGACGAAGTCTTTGCCATCAATGAGTCTGAAAACCAGCAAAGAGGGCAGTATATGAACAGACGCTAGGTCTCCAGTGAAGGTGAGAATACACCTGTACTCTCACAGAGGCAATGCAGATATCACGGTAATTCAAAACAGGGAGACAGAACTATAAAGTTAGACAGCTGTAAAAATAAATGAAATGGATCTATATGTCTGATACAGAATATCTTCTAAGACACAGACTTGATTCAACAAGAGAGAAGTCAAATAGTATGCACAGGAAATTTTATTTGCCATCATCTATATAGACCACCATCTTTGGAAAGACATTTCAAGAGACTGAAATCAGAAAACGCCTCTGGGAAGAACTGAGAGAGTTGAATGGCTGGCAGACATATTTTCACTGGGTACCTCCTAACATTTGGTTATGTGATTTTGTTTTTACTCTACACAATTATGACTTTAAAACTTAAACTACAGGGGCCAGTATCGTGGCACAGTAGGTTAATCCTCCACCTGTGGTGCCAGCATCCCATATGGGCGCCAGTTCTAGTCCCGGCTGCTCCTCTTCTAAGCCAGCTCTCTGCTGTGCCTGAGAAAGCAGTGGAGGATGGCCCCAGTGCTTGGGTCCCTGAGCCCACATGGGAGATCAGGGAGAACCACCTGGCTCCTGGCTTTGCACTAGCACAGCTCCGGCCATTGTGGCCACTTGGGGAGTGAACCAAGGGATGGAAGACCTCTCTCTCTGTCTCTCCCTGTCACTGCCTGTAACCCTACCTCTCAAATAAATAAATAAAATCTAAAAAACAAACAAATAAAAAAAAACCAAACAAACAAAAACTACAGGGGCCCGTGCTGTGGCATAGCAGGTAAAGCTGCTGCCTGCAGTGCCGGAATCCCATATGGGCGACGGTTCAAGATCCGGCTGCTCCACTTCCGACCCAGCTCTTTACTGTGACCTGGGAAAGCAGTGGAGGATGGCCCAAGTCCTTGGGCCCCTGCACTCATGTGAGAGACGAAGAAGCTCCTGGCTTTGGATCGGCACAGCTCTGGCTGTCGCAGCCATCTGGGAAGTGAACCAGCAAATGGAAGACCTTCTTTCTGCTTCTGCTTCTCTGTAACTCTGCCTTTCAAATAATAAATCAATCTTGAAAAAAAAAAAAAAAAAAACAACCTTACACTACAATGATCATCAAACAAGCAAATAAAAAATGGAGCTACTACTTCTGGTGCAAGAGCAAAACAGGACAGGGTAGGAAATGATAGATAAGTAATGGTTTTATGGAAGAATGGGCATTAAATCTGGGCCTTGCACAATGCGGAGGAGACAGACCTTACACATAGGGAAAAAGAATTATGGATCAAATTTCTGCAAATATTGCACCATTGTTCCTTCTGTTTCACAACCACCAGTGGACTGCCCAACGGATAATTCCAAAGCCCATAAACAAACACATGCTGCATTCCTCAGAACAGGCCATCTATCTTCCTGAGGAACAGTTTGTACTCTGAGTGAATTGCAGGTTCTTACTGAAATGTTTGCTGCAGGTAGCATTTTGTTACTTCTTGGCATCATAGATGGGGAAAGGAAAAACAAATCTGCCCAGTGGCTTTTAAATGGCCTCTCCACATGCAGTCTAATCCCCAAGGCTGCTTCTCCAGTGGGCCCCTCCCTGCTGAGTGGAGTCTGCTGTGGATCTGGCTCTGGTATGGCAGAGGCCAACAGGGAAGTTTTTCTGTCCTGCCACCTCTCCCACTTCCTGCCAACACGAATGCAAATTAGGGGCTGGGCTAAGCAACTCCTGCTTAGCTCCATTGAGATGCTCCACCTCGTCCTGTGACTTCTGCGCTGTCAGAAATTCCTGTGAGTTTCTGACCGGAGGACAGTGCCACCTCTGGTTTCTGTACTGATGCAGCTTTCTTCTTGACTTCTTCACTGGTACTTCACTGGGTCCTTGTGACCAATACATGGGACAGGTGGGGCCACTATCTGAGGCCAAAGCCCATCCTTGCTTCACTTGGCCAAAGGTGGCTTAGTTATTGACGCATTTTAGGTAATTAATCCAACTGCAGTCCATATCAAGTAAGAAATAAAGAGAGGATGGGTTGGGCGTTTGCCTGTGGGTGAAGATACTGATTAGGATGCCCATGTCCCAAATCTGAGTAGCAGTGTTTGAGTCCTGGCTCCTGACTCCAGCTTCCTGCTCGTGGGGAACCTAGGAAGGAGTGATGATTGGGTTCCTGCCATCTACACAAGAGACCCCAATTCAGTTCCCAACTCCCAGTTTTGGCCCGAGCCAGCCATTATGGGCATTTTGGGGAGCAGAGCAGAAGATGAGCTTGTTCCTCTGTCAATCTTTCTCTCTCTCTCCTTCTCTCTCTCTTTCTCTCCCCCCACCCTCTCTCCTCAAATAACTATTTTTTTCAAACTTTTAAAACAAGAGGGGGGTGTTTGAGTTGTATATACACAGACTACAGATCCCAGTCCTAGCACATCCCAGGCAGCACACTGGCCTTCCTGAGTCATCTCATTGTGTGCAGAATGGAAATGTTAACAGTAGCCAGCTCCTGGGATAATTACGAGGGTAGAAAGAGATGGTACAGCTAAAGCTCCCACATGTGCCTGGCAAACAGTAATTGCTGAAGAAATGTTTTAAAAGTTCCCCCAGTCTTCCATCATTGCTGGATCTGGTGTGAAACTCAAACGATCTAATGTAGATTCAGCTTTCTCATGCATGGGTTTTTTTAAAGGTAAGTTTTTTTTTTTTTTTTTTAAAGCATAGTTCATGGTACAATTGAATTTCATATGATCCTAAGAGTAGCATAAACAAAAACCCTAGCAGGACACATCCTAGCTGTCTAGATAGGGGTTTGGGGGGAAAGCCAGACATCCAAAAACCTCTGACTCACATTTTTTCTTCTGGAAAGTGAATTTCCATTTCCATTAAAATTTCACAAAGATGCAAACACTTCCAAACAGATGAAACTATACTCATGTTATAGTCTGTTGGTTTTTCTTAGTAAGTGAAGGGATCCGTGATTTCCCAAGTTAAGATGTAAGGCTAGAGCAAGGATTAATAGGGAGACACTCTGAGGATCCCAGCGGATTTACTGCAAATCATGATCAGAGGGCATGAGTTACAGGCCCAAGATTGGGCCCAGTCTCTCTGTGGAGAACGTTTCCTTCAGTTGTAATAGGTAAACAAAGACTTGCTTTTCCAATCATTTCATAATGAGAAATGGGTTAAACTGGAAACCTTCTCTAGGCAGAAAATTGGGCGGACTCAGGGATACACTGGACAGATCACTCATCGGCAAAATGAAAGCTTTGTCTAAGAGAGGCACATCAATCAGAATCAGAACGCGTTGCTCGTGACCACAACCATTGTGCAGGAATGCTTGTCACAGATCAGCCTGAGCCAGCTCTCTCCCCAGTGCCCAGCGACCCACCACCAAGGCTGCACCTCTGAACTCTGTCTAAAACCCTTGAGTGACTTCTCATTTCTTCCAGAAAAAAGTGTCAAACACTTAGCATGCCCTGTGTAGTCCAGACCTTTGTTACTTCTGCCATCACACACTGCATTCTGGCCAAATTCTCCAATGGAACATACTTCCATTGCCACAGGACCTTTGCAAACACTGTCCTCCCTAGCTGGAGTGCCCCAATAGGCTATGCTTAAAACTTTAGAACATAGCTCAAGGGGCCGGTGCTGTTGTGCAGTGGATGAAAGCCCTGACTTGAAGTGCCTGCATCCCCTAAGGATGCAGGTTCTAGTCCCCAGCTGCTCCTCTTCCGATCCACCTCTCTGCTATGGCCTGGGATAGTAGTAGAAGATGGCCCAAGTCCTGGGCCTTTGTACCCACATGCAAGACCTGGAAGAAGCTCCTGGCTTCTGGCTTTGGATCAGCACAGCTCCGGCCACTGCAGCCACCGGGGGGGTGAACCAGTGGATGGAAAACCTCTCTCTTTGTCTCTACCTCTCTCTCTGTAACTCTGTCTTTCAAATAAATAAAATAAATATTTTTTTAAAAAAGAACATAGCTCAAATGTCTACAGTACCCTTGACCATCCCCTTCACAACTCCTAAAATTCTAATGATTAATTGTGTATTAATTAAATAATATTATCTCTCTTTAAATTCCCCATTAGAATAGAAATTTTGAGGACAGACACTGTGTCTACATTCTACTCCTAGTGGTTGCATAGGACAGATGTTCAATATACATTCATTGACTACACGAATGAATTTTCACTCTCCATGGTTATCAGAGTATGGCCTGTAAATTTCTAAATGCAACATTTTTTTTTAACTGAAATGTTAAGTCACTCAGCTCCATGAGAGCTGGCTTGCAGAGTTAGCCCTCCATATCTGGGCTTCTGCATCCATAGATTCAACCAACCATAGATGAAAAATTATCTAAAAATAAAAACTGCATCTGTACTGAACAGTACAGACCATTTTTCTTACCAGTTCCTAAACAATATCATGTAAGAACCATTTATACTGTACTAGGTATAATAAGTAACCTAGGCACAGTATAACATGATTATCTTTTCTGCGGTATTATAAATGATGCAGATATGACTTAAAGGATACGGGAGGCCATACCGGGGTATGCATATACAACACCATTTTATACACTGACCTTGAGCATCCATGGATTTTGACTTCTGCAGGGAGTCCTAGGACCAATCCAGCATAGAGATGGAGGCACGGCTGTGTCTGTGAGGCGCTGTTTGTGCCTGTGGGTGAGTATCTTACCCATCTGTGTCCTCATCCTTTCTTCTGTTCTCTTTCCCTGGGGTGCATTTTTGCTCACTGCTCACTTGCCCTGCATTTCTTCACTCCCTGCATCATGTGCGCACGGATCACTTTTGCCTTTCCTGACCCCTCAAAGGCCAGCACCTTTCTGGGACTCGGCAGCCCCGTTGCCATTCGCCATTCATGCCGTGCAGGCCAAGAGATCTTAAAATTGCCGGTTATATAGCATTACTCAAAAGATAGATTTTCCCTCTCTTTCTGTTCACGAGGCTGGTTTTAGGGCCATGAACACTGAAGCAGTGATTTTTTTCATCTCTAGGATGAATTTTAGGAGTGCCATGAGTATTTCATGACTCCCCTTCATAATCCTTCTAAAAACAATGACAAAGCAGTTAACTGTTCAGGAAGATGAAACTTTTACAACTTTGGATATGAAGGCAACTGGAAAATAAGTGAACATTTCATGTAGCTTGTCGTGTCTGGGAAACCTGTGCAGTAGGAATTCGTTCATGTGTGGGCTGTCTACTAATGGAGTGAGTGTTCACTGAGTTTCTGACTCAAGCCAGGGACTCTATTTTCACCAGCTGGTGTACAAGGCAGAAGACACTCCTGCCCTCCTGGGGCACACACTCACTGCAAGAAATAAAGAGTAAGTAATAAAATAGCTATTCATTCCAAGACCAAGGAACGCGGTATGTTTACTCCCAGCTCACTCCTTTCTATCTTAGAATAATCAATCTCCTTATGGTGAAAGTCCACTGAAAACCCAAAAAAAAAAAAAGAATCTCTGCTTGACATGAGGCCCCATTTCCCTCAGCAGCCTTCGTTTTTCATTATTCCAAAAATTTTCAACTTGTTAAAAAAAGGGATCTCTCATTTGTAACACCATGGTTTTGCCTTCCCTGAAGACAGGATTAAGGTATCTGAAAATCCGCATTCTTCCTCACTTGCTTTTCAAATGAGACTGAGCACATCAGCTGAAATTCTGGGCAGTTTTCCGAGTTTCCCATCAAGATGGGCTCACGGCTTGTGGATGACATTCCTAGTTGTTCCATTCTTTGGAGATACTCTGAGGATACCCAGGGAGGTATTTGTTTATCTTACTTCATTTCTTGATTTTATCCTAATTACTGCATGTGAGCTAAGGAAATAGACAGTACCCTGACTTGGAAGTCCCAAGGAACAGAGCCTTAGCCTAATTCTCTGAGCCTCAATTTCCATGAAAAATAGAGAAAGAGCAAAGAGAAGAAAGCTACAAGTATTAGACATAATGAATGTGAACTACTCAGCACAATGCATATACCTTCCAGGGTGCAACAAATGGTTGACAGTATTAGTACTGAAGTGTCAGCTTCCACTTATTAATAAGCATCCATCATGTTGGTATAGAGTATACACACAGCACTCCTCCCTGTAAACAATGTCCATTCATCTCTCATTAGAAAAAGAAGGCTTAAACACTGGAGAATTGGTTCCCTAGGAGCTCATCTATTTCAGGAACATGTGTAATTCATTCAACAACTATTAATCAGGTGCTCGCTCTGGGTCAGGCTCTGGGCCAGGACCCAGGGTTTTAGCAGGGACACAGGCAGATGTGAACACAGCTCCTGACAATTTGAAGCCTCATCAGAGAGACTATAATTCTCATGAGTGCCTTAGGGTGACATACAAAAGTCAGGGCCCATGCAGCTCTGCAGTGTGTGAGGCCATCCCTGACAAGCACGGAACTGATGGTAATGGTCATGATGATGATGAACTTCATTTCTGTCTTGAAGAGGTGATGGTATTCTCTATTATCTGTCTTCTAAAGGAAGGCTTAGCCACCTTTCCCTACTCATGGCAAGAGTATTTGGACCTAGGAGAGAGTTCCAGAGACAGTCCCCAGGGAAGGTAAATCCTGTGTGCGGTGAGTGCTGCCTGCTGACTTCAACCAGACTGCATTTCTCTCAGGCTTGCTTCTCATGCGAGCGTGGCAATGCTCAGACACTCATTTTTATGAGAAGTCGGATAGCTTGCATCGCTGTATTTTCTCCCAGGGTTTTCATATGCACATATATAATCATTTTGCCACCCATTTTCTTTCTTGCCTTTTTAAAACTTAATACTATGGCATCTACTCAAGCACTGATGCTTGAATTTATCCCAAAACCCTCTTTTCCAATGTTATTCCAGTCTTTTTTTTTAGGTTTAGATATTACATATCCTCCCTTTTAGATGAATTCAAATGAAATTGTAATGACAGTAGTAATGATACTGTAAACTTTTGCACATGCATTTTTTATCATGTCACTAATCATTGCTAAATTTCTACAAGACATGTTGATAAAGAGCTTTACAGATTTTGAACTTCTTGCAATTTATTGCCGAATGTCATTCTAGAAAAAGTTACCAATATGCATGTTCACTAGCAGGGTATAAATACTTAACCATCTAGCATACCTTCAGTATTCTGAAGAAAAAGAGAGAGGAAGGGGGAGATTCCAATTCTAGTGAACTGTAGGAGGCATTGGTATCCTCCTTTAGTGATTGCACCTAAAATGCACACAGTGAAAATTCACGGGGCAAGTCTCAGGCACGGGTTACACCACCAAGTGAAGATTGAGCTGGTTAAACAAAGACTGTCCAGGAGACAGTATCATGGATAAGCTGCTGGCTGCTTGGCTGCTTGGCTACTTGACTGCTTAGCTCCCTGGCCTTGACACCAGCCCGGGGAGGTAAGTATTACAGCCCACTTGCAGGCCAATCACTGGGGCCAGCTGACCTAGCCAAGACAGCAGATGCTGCAGCAGGCCAGACTCTTTGCACTAGCACTACATGGCCTCCAAATGAAATGTGCATTAAAAGCAGAGGACAGACATATTTTGATGAAGTATTGAACTTAGATTCTTACCTTGAAATGCACAGATCTAGCTTTGCAAGCTGGCCCAAAAGCAGCTGGAGGGAAAAGAGAAAGAAGACAGGTTCAGAGTTTCCACTGGGAATGCAGGGTGGGGCTGAGGGCAGGGTTTCTGGGTACAGGGACCTGTGGTCTGAACATTCTTTAGGCACAAAGGAGATAGCAAGAGGCTCCCTGAGCAGCCCAGACGTTGAGGAAGCGGAGAAGACAGATGCGACTTTTTAGTTCTCAGCAATCAACATTACAAAATAGAAGCTTGACATTTTATTATGGAGTATTTGTTGTTCAATTATTTTTAATATTTATTTTATTTATTTGAAAGGCAGAGTTACAGAAAGAGGGAGAGACACAGAGAGAGACAGAGGTCTTCCATCTGCTGGTTCACTCCCCAAATGGCTACAATGGCCCAGGCCAGGCCAGGCTGAAGCCAGGAGCCAGGAGTTTCTTCCAATCACTGACACGGGTACAGGGGCTCAAGCACTTGTACCTTTCTCCACTGCTTCCCCATGCACATTAGCAGGGAACAGGATTAGAAGTGGTGCAGCCAAGACTTGAACTAGCACCTGTATGGGATGCTGGTGCTGTAGGCCACAGTTTAACTTGCTACACCACACCACCACCATTGTTGCTCAATTAAAAACACACAAAAAGGAGTCAGTGTCATGGCGTAGCAGGTAAAGTTGCCGCCTGTGATGCCAGCATCCTGTATGACCACCTGTTCTTGTCCTGGCTGCTTGGCTTCTGATCCAGCTCCTTGCTAATGCTCCTGGGAAAGCAGTGGGAGATGCCCCAGTTCTTGGATCCCTGCACCCACATAGAAGATGTGGAAGAAGCTCCTGGCTCCTAGCTTCAGCCTGACCCAACCCAGGCTGTTGCAGCCATTTGGAAACTGAAGCCGAGAATGGAAGATCTTTCTTTGTCTCTCTGTTTTTCCTTCTTTCTCTCTCTGGAATTGCACCTTTCAAATAAATATTTAAAAAAAGGAGAGATGAAATCTGAGCCTACAGAACTCAGCCTTCTCTGTATTATGTGAGAACCTCCTTTGTTCCACATCAAGAAAGCCTTGGTTCTCAAGAGTAGCAGGAGTGACAGAATGAGAATTTCCCATAGTCTGCCGTTTTTCTTTTTCATTTACTGTACACACAAAGTATCCAATAACATTACTGATACTGATGCTCAGATTGGCGACACTGTGACTACTGAAAACATCAAACTATTTTTGTTTCAGTTTTACACTTGCTCCTCCTATACCTATTGGGGTTCTCTAGGCTCTATGCTGTCACAGCATATGGTAGTTACAAACCACACCCTCTCCTGCTTGGTCTCACTCTGGTTTAGTTCTGCAGATTCCTATTTACTTAATGCTCACTGCCAGTTCTCATATCTATGCCTCTCTGACATCTGGTGAAAAAAAATAGGAAGACCATAATCTTTTATATTATTTTTCTTTCCTGAGTTCAGTCATTTAACTTCTAAGGTTTTTCTTTAAAATTTTTATTAATATAAACAGATTTCATGTATTTCATATGAATAATTCTAAGAATATAACAATATTTCTCTCCCTCTCTCAATCTACCTCCTTCCTACCTGTTTTATTAAATTTTGCAAAAACATAATTTAAATCTACTCTACAATCACAGGCTTAATACAACACTAACCATAATATTCAGCAAGCAAAAAGTAGAAAGACCGCAGTTCCACAGGAGTATACGCAAGAATGAAAACAGCAACCAAATCATTAGATGCTGTTTCACTCTTAAACATTTTTTGTATTCTATATTAACTACTACATATCAGAGAAAACATACAATATTTATCTTTTGGTGACTGGTTTATTTCACTAAGAATAATGGTTTCCAGTTGCATGCATTTTGTTGCAAGAGATAGGATTTCATTTTTTGAATGGCTAAGTAGTATTCCATAGTGTGATATACCGTATTTTCCGATTTGTGTTGTTTTTGATGTCTTATGTAATTTTCTTTTAGCTTGTTTTGAAATAATATATTTAATTCTGTTTTGAGAGTGTAACTTTCTTCTTTCTGTTGTACTTCCATTGTCTGCAGGAATATGACTCTGTCCCTTACTCTCTTTTTATTACTAATAACTAGACACAGATTTTTCTGTTGCTCATTTTTATGTGTAAGGGGTTCTCTGAACTTCTAGAATGCAGCATGGTTCAGGATAGCTTTATAATGCCACAGACCACAGAGCTCTCTCTTCAGTGCTTGTGCAATCTTCAAAAATAGTGGCTTCCTGAGGTTTCCCGGCCCACTTCCTCTCTGATGTCACCCTTCCTTGTCCCTGGTACCCACATTCTGCTCAGTTCTGACTGCACATCCAGCAATTACTCCTCAGGGCAGCCCTGTCTCAGCAAGGGCTCTGGCTGGTGGGCATGAGAATTCGCAGGTCTGGGCCACTGCTCCCCATCAGCCTCATTAGAGCAGACTCCGGGGCCTCACCCAGTGCTGCCAGAGCAAAATCACACACGCACCCCTCCCCCATCTCAGCCTCTGTTCCCAGCATGGCCTGAGGTACTTTGCAGGGAATGCCTGCTAGCTACTGGATATCTATCAGTTATTTGGGGTTTTCCTGTTCTGAGCTCTACTGGATACTGACTGATGTTTCATTCTTGTTCTCCATAAAAAGGACAACAGCATGGAGATCTTCTGGCTATTGGTTTGCTCCTACCTGCTCATGCTTCCAGGTTTATGGGGGCACCTCCTCACTGCTTTGTTTGTTTGTTTTCTGGTAAATGTTGCCTACAGCTTGGCCACGGAGCTGCTCTAATTTCACATGGAATTCCGAGACTGTGAAGCTTGACGGCCATCACTATCACCGCTCCCAAATTCTCCTAAGCGTGTAAAATTTTTAACTTTTCTAAGAAAACAGTCCAAAAAGTTTCCCATTTTTATCTTGATATAATTTTATTATTAAATAATGTGTGCAGACTGGAGATATTCAGAAAGTATAGGGAAAACAATGAAAATTGATTATAATTCTATCACCCAAAGTATCTAGAGCTTTTAAGAAGTAGGTACGTTTTGCAGCCTCTTCTGGGTGCATCAGTAGAACACACAGTGATATATGTACATCCAGATAGATATGGATATAAAGTCTAGAACGTAACATTTGGATCTACTTGACATCTCCTCTTGTATCTAACACTTTATAGTTAACAGAACATGATATGCCATTGCCCACGTTTTTACAGATTTGAAAGTTTGACTTCTGTCCAACAAAAGGATCCAAATGTTCTAAAATTTGAGGAACTTTAAAATAAATGGCATTAGGTAAAACACTTAGCCAATGAAAGAAAAACAGAGTTAGATTACTTTCCTTAGAACATGCACAAAAATGACTCCTAACATAAAAGGGTTAAATGTGTTTAAATAAAAAATTAAAATGAAACACAAAAACAGGGAAACAGGGAAGACACGTCTAAGCATAAAAGCAAACAGACACAAAAGAACAAATTGACGGAGCTGACAAGGAGAAAAGTCACATCCTTCCTGGCTTTTAGTTCTTGCATTACCCAGCACTCAGCAACTACTAAGGACTTGACTCCTCTGGTATTCAGACTGACAGACATTACCTGGTTTGACAAGGTTCTGAATCAGGACCCTGGAATGAGAGCACCCACTTTTGCAGGCCATCACTTAATTCAACACTGAGAATCTAGGATGTGGTAGGAACAGGTTTTAGTACAGAATGCAGCCTTGAGCTAGACTGTGTCCTGGCAGGGTTGGCAGTGACAGGAGAGTGAAGGCTGCTCTTTGCTTTGCCTCATTCAGGTCAGTCCCTAAGAATGAACTGCAGGAATCCAAATTTAGAGGACATTCGCCACTTATAAGAGATCAAAACAAGAAAATGTACTTGTAAAAAAAGTACATTTAAGAGGTGACCATGAACAGCCCAAGAGTTTACCTTCTCAGCTTATTTAACGTCAGCTTCCTCCATGATGCACTAAGGAAAACACAACATTGACGTGGTTGGGACTACCATCCAAGGGAGACCACAGGACACAGATGAAACCTCTTGATACTTGCAAAGCTTATTCATGAATACATCCCTGAATGAAGGGTGGGCTGGCTGTGTGGAACACTGAGGCTCTCCTGGTGTTGTAAACGGCACCTTGAGGTACAGGGCAGGGTCAAAGTTGGGCCCGGGGAGAAGAGTTTATCGGGCGCTCACTCCCAGGGCTTCCCCTGCACTCGTGCTACCCCAAGGGCAAACATCTACTCGGATTGTGTGTCTCATTTACTTTGTTCACCTCGTCCTAGTGCAGGCCCAGCTCCTGTGATCCCAGGTGGTTCCCCTGGGTCTTTTCCCATGCAAATTGATATTTCAGAGCTCCCTCAGGACCAAGCTAGTTTCTGAAGTAGCCTAAGGGGAAGTTCCACTCAGCAGACAAAACAGCATGGGCACCTCTTCTGTATGCATCCCCATGTCCCAGGCAAAGAGCTAATAATGGGAATTGGAAGAGACAGAGACAGAGAGAGAAACTCTGTTAAGGAATGTGGCTTGATTTGTAAGAACTAAAGCTGAAAGTGGCAAGAGTTGGAACGCAGGACACATCTAATGAGGTTGCTTCAAAAGACGATTGCCACTGTTTAAGTTTGCTTAGTCCACAAAACAAATCAGTATTGGGTTTGTGGCTGGGATTTCTAAGTCCATGCTCACCGGGTGCCCTTTGCTGTCTTGGAGGAATGAATCGGACTTTGAAAGAAAATAATTTTGCATGATTACTTTTCTATTTTCTCCTTCAAATAGTGCTGGCTTTTACAGTGTGTTATTTTGTTCTACTCTCCATTAGCTTGGTCTCTTTCAAGACATTAGCATCCCTGGGCATTTGGTGGGAGCCCTGCTGACACAGCTCAGATTCTGTCTGCCCAGCAGCTCTCAGATGTGGATGAAGAGCACACTCCACCCACACTGAGCTGAGAATTTAGGACAAAGGACCAGGCTGGCTCTGCCTCTGAGCCCAGGGAATCAGTTTCTGCCATGGGCCTCTCCTTCTCTCGTGTCCTGGGCTACCCTG